ATATGGGACATTTTGAATCAGGCAATCATATCTACAATTCTGGAAATGTAAAGGTGAGAAAAAAATGGGCTCACTTTCACAGTTAAGAAGACTATTTCTAGATCCATCTTGAAATACAATGTTGTGAGCGACAGTATACTACTATCCATACGTATACAAGGAAGATCTGTTGATTGCACTTTCATTCAAATTTGTGCACCAACAACAAGACTAAAAGAGGAGAAAACAAATAATTTCTACCGACTATTGCAATCAGAAATCAATCAAACACGCAACCAAGATACATTACTAATAATGGGTGACTGGAATGCAAAAGTGGGAACAAGGAAGAAGGATTGGCAGCGAGAGAACATGGACTTGGTGACAAAATCAGGCTATCATCACAATGATAGAATTATATACAATCAATGGTTTATTAATTGCAAACACCTTTTAGAAGAAAAAAAATAGCAACTATATACATGGACTTCACCTGATAACCTAAACAAGAATCAGATTGATTACATATGGGAGGAAAATCACTGGAGAAGCTCAATATCAGCTGTGAAAACTAGGCCCGATGCCAATTATAGATCAGATCATCAACTTCTCATGTGCAAGTTCAAACTGAAGCTAAAGAAAATAAAATATAATCTACCAAAGTTTGACCTTGAGTCTACCTGCCTAAATTTAAAGACCATCTCAGGAGCAGGTTAAAGGCATTGAATAGTAATGAGCGAAGACCAGATGAGCTGTGGGAGGATAGCAAGAATATCATCCATGAAGGATGAAAACGGTCAATACAAAGACTGAGGAAGAAGAAAAGGCCAAAATGGATGTCAAAAGAGACTCTGAATATTGCATTAGAGCACCAAGAACCCAAAGCAAAGGGTATAAGTCAAGATGTGAAGGAGCTGAACTGATTTCAAAGGGCAACACAGGAAGACAAAGCAAAATATTATAATGAAATATGCAAAAAGTTGGAGTTGGAAAATCAAAAGGCATGAATTTGTTGAGCATTTCTAAAGCTAAAGGATCTGAAGAACAATCTCAAGCCTCAAATTGCAATACTTAAGGATGTTATGGGCAGAATCCTGAATGACCCAGAAAGCAACAAGTGAAGATGGAAGGAGTACACAGAATCACTATACCAAAATGGTTTGGCTGACATGGAATAATTTGAGGGAACAACATATCATCAAGAGCCTATGGTGATGAAGGAGGAAGTTCAAGTTACACTGGAGGAATTGGCAGAAAATAAAGCCTCAGGAATTAATGGCATACCAATTGATATATTTCAACAGATGCTGCCTTGGATGTGCTCACCAGGTTGCTCCAGAAAATCTGGAGGACAATCACCTGGCCAAATGACTGCATGAGATCCATATTTATTCCCATTCTTAAAAAAGGTGACTCAACAGAGTGTGGACATTATTGAACAATATCATTAATATCACATACTAGCAAGATCTTCTGAAATGTATCCAAGAATGACTGGATAACATCAACAGAGAATTGCCAGATGTGCAGGCTGAGTTTAGAAGAGATCATGGCACTAGGGACATGTGTTTCTTTGACTATGCAAAAGCAATTGACTGTGGATCACAACAAACTGTAGCTAACAACTCTGAGAAGAATGTGAATCCCAGAACACTTGATTGTGCTTATGTGCAACCTATACTTGGACCAGGAGGCAGTTGTCAGAACAGAGCACGATAACACTGCATGGTTCAAAATTAGGAAATGTGTACACCAAGTATGCATCCTATCTCCATACGTTTTTAATTTATATGTAGAACAGATCATCCCTGGGAGGCTGGGCTGTATATGGAGGAGTGTGACATCAGGAAAGGAGGAAGACTCATCAACAACATGCATTATGTAGATATGCAGCCTTGCTTGCTAAAACTGAGGAGGGCCTAAGGCATTTGCTGCAGAAGCTCAAGGACTGCAGCCTTCAATATGGATTGAAGCTCTGCATCAAGAAAACACAGATTTCCACCACCAGGCCAATTGGCAGCATCATGATAGACTGAAGATATTGAGATTGTTAACAGCTTCAGCTTGTTTGGCTCCAAAATCAACACCTGGTACCAGAAGGCAGAAATCAAAGGACTAATTACATTGGGAAAGTTCGCTATCAGGGACCTCTCCAGAGTACTGAAGAACAATGATTTCGGTCTATACACTATTACCTAATCCAGGGCATGGTCTCTGCAATTACTTGCTCTCCATCAGAGAGCTGGGGACAATGCCCAAGGATGACAGAAGACAAATTTATGCCCTTGAGCTGTGTTGCTGGAGAAGAGTGTTGAATAAATTACTGAAAGAACAGATTTGTCCTGCAAAGGGTGAAACCAGATTGCTCCTTGGAAGTAAGGATTTTGAAGCTTCATCTGACGTAGTTTGAGAGTGTTACAAGCGGAGGGGAGGGCAATCTTTGGAGAAGAACATCATGGTTTGAAGGGTAGAGGGGCGGCGTAAGAGAGGAAGACCCTAGATGAGATGGATTGACTCATTGACCGGGGTAATGGGGGTAGGTGTGCCAGAGATGTTGACACTGGCTCAGGACGCAGTAAAGTTCAGAGGTGTTGTACAGTGATTCACTATGAATCAGAGTCAACTTGACCACACATAACAACAACAGCAGGTCTACATATTAAATATCTCCTGGAATTTCATGCCATACTTCATTTTCTTTTGAATGCAAAGTTCCTATTTATCTTGTAGCTATTACTACTGCATGGTCATTTTAGAGACCTTAAATTAGTGGACCAAAGAGAAGTGCTCCTGAATACCATGAGTAGTGATATATGCTGTTACATTGTATTAACTTCATTATGGAAAAGGATTTGTTACATATTTTATTACATATAATAATATGACATTATATATAACTTAAAATTCAGTTCTACTTATATGTAGGGATTCCAACATATATTTTAATGGGAGGCATGGCACAATTCAGTCCATAATATATGCTAAATATAATGAACACTTGTTTGCTTTCAAGCTAGTATACCCAGTTTTTATTTAAATATCAGGGAGCTCTGGTAGCCTAGTGGTAAGGAATTGTTCTGCCAGCCTGAAGGCATACAATTCAAATCCACCTGCCACTCTGCAGGACAAAGATGGTCCTCATTGCCTCTGCTATGAATCAGTTCTGACTTGGCGGTACAGAGCAGCATTTTCCTTATTAGATTTGCATCTCCTGGACAATTCTTCATCTGCGTGAATGAATTTCATGATCACATGTTCATTTTCAGGTTCCTTGTTCAGAGACAATGTTGTAGAAAAAAAATCCATTTCAATAAATTAGGCTTTGGGAATGCTCTCTAATGGTGTTGGATGGGAAGAAGTTTGAGCTATGGTGGGAATAAAATCTGGAAGATGTGTCAGTTCCTTTAAAAATTCTGGTTGGCCCTTCTGGGATGAAGATGTTTTAGTATAAGTCAAAAGTCAACTTAGTGGTTGGCTGGTCTCCTTGAGCACGGTGCCATGAGGAGAATCACCGTTAATTTCTTAGGTTGACAGTCAGTGTGTTCAAAAGTATGGGTCTGTCTTGGGAAGAGGAAGACCATGAACACCTGCCCACACTGACAGTGCCTTCATAGTTTGACTGTGTGAACACTGTGATGACCAGAGAGGCTGACTGAGATGTGTAGCATAAAGTGGAATAAACTATTCAAGTGTGAAAAAGAATTATTTTTATGAGTGTTAATGCCAGTAACACCGTGGAGATATTCTTAAAACATTCAGGTTCACATTCATAGCTATTGCTATCCTCAGAAGCCTTATTAAGTGAAGAAGCTGAGAAATCAGTACTAGGTATAGTCTGCTGCTCAATTTATAGGATTAATAATTATTGAATACAATGACTCCCTTAATGATCTTTTCTTTGCATTTCATATTTACATAATAAAATAGACAATAAAAATAGAGCACTAACACTGGCCTTGAGTATAGCAGAGATTGTGAGGGTGTCACAAGCTAGGGCAAGTTTTCAAGAGTCATTCATAGGGTTGCTGAGGGTCTAAGTCAACTTGATGGCACTTAACAACAATAGAATCATCCAAGCAGATTTTCATCACATCTTGCTTTGTGCTCCATCTCTTTGACGAGCCACAGGGATCTGAACTTGATGAGCTTTCATTTCTCGTTCTATTCAGTCCTCTGCCAATGTACCAGACTTTGAGACTGTGAGTTCAGGGAACACTTGACTACCAAGGACCAAATTAAGACCACGTCTATAATTTTTGGACTCATGTACTTATAACTTGTTAGTCAAATTTGTGTCTTCTAGGTTGCAACACCCCCATGATACATCTTGAAGGATATGTACATGTACAGCCAAGCACAATCAATAAGAGTGCATCTGAATTCCAAAATCAATCTCCATAATAGTCTATGTGTTTCCTACTGCCAAAGGGGCCCTTTAGAGTAGTGAGAGAAGATCTTCACCCTGAAACCCACAGCGTCCCTTTTCAGCAGGAAGTAGCTAAGAGAATACGCCGTCCCCTTTTCCTTATGACTCAGGGTGAAGTCTCTCTCAGGGAGGAGTGATAGGGAATGGCAAAGGACACACTGACAAAGAAGATTAATCAGAACTGGCTTTGACAAGCACTGTGGCATTTGGACAAGAACAAACTGGGAGGAGGGTAGAGAGAATAGTGCAACAATGAATGAGTGGAAGCCCAAAATCTCTGTAAATGTTTATGAAAATTAATAAAATATAATTATAGAAAAAAAAAAAAGACCACGTCTAGTATCTGTAGATGTCAATGAGAAGGAGGAAAACGAAAATTACTTTCAGATATTACTAATAGGCATCGGGTTTGAATTGGGAGCCTAACAATAAAAGGTTCTGTATCTTATTACTCATCAGTTGAGTCACTTGTTCCTTGCATTTTTTAATTAACTCCTGTTATTTTAGAGAGTGTTTTTTGCATGTTTTCAGTTAAGTGTAGGAAATTGTTATTAATTCAAACCCCTAACTCTTTTCCTACTCTTTTTCCCTTTAGGGATGCAGATCTGTTCCTGATAGACACAAGAAAGGCTCAAGCTTTAGATGTGGGTTGGCTCGTCTTTGATATCACAGTGACCAGCAATCATTGGGTGATTAATCCACAGAACAATTTGGGCTTACAGCTCTGTGCAGAAACAGGGGATGGTAAGCTCTGAATTCGATATTTCTTGTGGGACTTATTTTGACAGCTGAAAATTGAGGGTTATTTTTGTGTGGTTTAACAAATATATATTTTGCACATATGATATATACGTTAGCACATTCCACAAGATGGGGCACTATGTTAGTGTACTAAATTTATAAATGCATTGATTAAACATAAATTTATTATTAGGCCATGAGGTATAAAGAAGTATATACTAATCCTACTTTTAAGTGTTTTTGAAAACCTATATATAAAAATGATAAAGCTTCATCTCATGTACTTTGAGCACACTTTTGGGAGAGGTTATTCCTTGGAGAGGCACATCATGTTTGGAAACGGGGAGGGACAGCAGAGGAGAGGAAGACCATCAACCAAGTAGATTGGCATAGTGACTGTGGCAATGGACTTGAGTATATCAGGCATTGTGAAGATGGTATAAGATAGGATAAGGTTCAGATCTGTTGTTCATAGGATCACTATACTCGACTCAACAGCAATTAACAATAATAACAGCATATGTTGTTACTACTTATTAGTAATGTTACTGTTGATAGGACGGAGCTCTAGTTGGTTGTGGTTGTGTACCGTTGAGTCAGAACTCACCCATAGTTGACCTTCCGTTGGGCTTTCAAAGGCAGTTAATCAATTGCATGAGAGAAGATAACCCACAATGACAACCAAAGGAACATGGTTCAAATCCACCAGCTGCTTAATGAGAGAAAGAGAGGTAATCTTCTATGCACTTTTTTGGCCTCTGAAAATCCACTGGAGTGTCAGCTGTCAGTCAGTTTTAAATCAACAATATGTAACAACAACAATTGTTAATAGAGGAGGCGCATTGCTAATCCAAAGGTGGCACATCTCTGGCTATTTGAATCCACCAGTGCCTTCAAAGGACCAAGGTGAATAATCCCCTTCCGTTTAATTTGCAGCTTCTGAAAACTAGCGGTCGAATCAGCTGTGAGTCAGTTCCAACTTGACAGCAATGAGTTGTGGATTTATTTTGGTTTGTACTATCAATATAGGCGTTTGTGTTAATATGGTGTCATACATGTTAGGCTGTTAAAGAAATGCCAGTGATTTGAATCCTCTCTCCCGTCCAGTAAGAACTTACAGACTTGGAAAACCAATGGATGGTTACTGTGAGGCAGAAGGCAACTGAAGAATTTACTGTGAGTTTAAGGCAGTGGGATTTTTAGGTTAGTACTATTAGTACTGTTGAACTCTGTTGGCCTAGTGGCAAGAAGCTGTGCTGTAATTTTGAAGGCACACAGTTCAAAGCCAGAAAAAGGATGGGCAATTTCCTCCTAGACGATTAACTGCCTATGAAAACCTGCCAGAATCAGGTATGGGTCAATTCCAACTCAACGATACACAACAATAACAACTGTTACCTTGAGTCTGTCCCCTTGAATTTTAAAATCATTTTACGGAAAGTCTTAAGACATTAAAAACCAGATAATCTACAACCAGATAAGGTGTTGAGATGACACTAGATATATCATCCATGAAAAGAGCAAAAAGTCATTATAAAGATAAAGGAGAAAGGAAAAAATCACCAGAATGTGTGTCAGAAGAGACTATGAAAATTGCACTAGAACCTCAAGAAGCCAAATCAAAGGGAAGACATGCTGAAGTAAAATAGCTGAACAGATAATTTCAAAGGACAGCTCGAGATGAAAAATCAAAATATCATAACAGAATATGCACAGAACTGGAGCTGGATAATATAAAGGGGAAGTAATAATATATATGCACACACATATACATACACACATATATAGTATAAATATATTTAATATAAATATAAAGGTGAAGATCTTACTCAGCTTTTCTCAAGCTGAAAGAACTGAAAAACAAATTCAAGCTTCAAATTGCAATACTGAAAGATGGTATAGGCAAAAGTCTTGAATGATCCAGGAAGCATTTTTAAAAGGTGGAGATAATCACTGCACCACAAAGAATTCACTGACACTAAGATATTTCAGGACTTACCCTATGATCAAGAGAAAGAAAAAAGAAATGCAAATTGCAATGAAGGCACTGACAAAAAAATAAAGCCCCAGGAATCAGTGTGATAAATATTGATATGTTTCAAATAACAGATGCAGCCCTGGACTTGCTCACTAGTCTGCCCCAGAAAATTTGGAAATGATTAATTGATTAGAAAAAGATTGATATTTGTTTCATCCAACATAATGTGGAAATTACCAAACATCATGAATATCAAACACAGCATAATATTGCTGAAGGTTATGCCAAAATTTCTAGAACAGTACATTGAGAGAGAGCTACCTTGAGTTCATGTTACATTTAGAAGAAGCCATGGCACCAGGGATAAAATTCATTCTGGATGAAATCAGAGAATACTAGAAAAATGTCTTTTTATGCTTTATTGATTATACAAAGGCATTTGACTGTGTGGATGATATGGTTAATCTTAAGAAAAATGAGAATACCAGAACACTTAACTATTCCTATATGAAATTTATATCTAAACCAAGAACTTGCTGTTGTAAGAACAGAGCAGAGGAATATTTCATGGCTTAAAATTGGGAAAGATGTGTTCAGGCCTATGTCCTCTCTCCATACCTTTTTAACCTATATGTTGTGCAAATCATTCCAGAAGCTGGACCTAAGAAGCTTGTAGTATTAGAATCAGAGGAAGGCTCATCAACAACTTGCATTATGCAGAATGATACAACCTTGCTTGCAGAAGTAAGGCAGGCCTGAAGCTACTGGGGCTGTAGCCTTTTAAATAGACCACATCTCAATATTAAACAAAAAACAAAAAATACTACACCAAAAATCTTCATCACTAGACAATATCATGATAGCTGGAGAAAAGGTTAAAATTATCAATGATTTCATCTTACTTGGCTCTACAGTACTTAAAACTCTTGGTACTAGCAGACAGGAGATGAGGAGATGTGCAGCACTGGGACAGTCTGATGTTGGTTATCTCGCTAAAGTCCCGAAGAGCAATGATGTCAGTCTAAAGACTAAGGTGCGCCTAATTCAAGCTATGATATTTCCAATCACTTGCTATAGATCTGAAAGTTGGGCAATGCATAAGGATAACAAAAGTAGAATCTATACATTTGAGTTGTGGTGTTGGAGAAGAGTGTTGAACATCCCACAGACTGCCAAAATAACAAACGGGTATGTATTGGACAAAGTTCAACTAGAATGTTCCTTGGAGACAAAGTTGGTGAGGCTTCATCTCACCTATTTTAGATATTTTGTTAGAAAAGGCTGTTAACTTGGAAAAGGACATCACGCTTGGAAATGTAGAGAGTCAGAAAGAAGTAGAAGAAAATATTCAGTGAGATGGATTGATGCAGAGTCTGTGGCAATGGACTCCAATGTGTTGAAGATGATAAGGATGGTGCAGCATAGGACAGAGTTTAGATCTATTGTTCATAGGGTCTCTATGAGTTTCATTCAACTCGATTGCACTTAACTACAACCACAACACCATTTAACAAATTAAAGATTAAGTGAAAGTTAAATCTTGCTTGGATCTCTTTTAAATGGGCTCATAAAATAGGACTTCAAATATTATTGTTTTTTCTGTAACCAGTTTCAAAACCTAAGGTTAATATCATAATCACCAATAAATAAAGTTGACAGACATAAATTGAGTATATTATAGAATTAATCTAGTGAAGATTTTATGAACCCGATATTTCAATATTTCAATCTAGAAAAAGAAAATTTTGACTGCATGTGTCTGTCATAGGCAGTGTGTTAGAGTTTTCCCTCTAAACCCAGACTTTTCCATAGGCTTTCATGATAATGTTGACTTTTTGAATTCATTATAAACTATTAAAATTATAAGTTATTTTCTAATTATGGCTTTGAGTTTATCATTGAGGATCTTCAGAGTTCAAGCATTATAACTTTTGACCCAGAAGAAGACTTCTTTAAATAATCTTCCAAGAATTTTTATGACGTTAAACCACTGTACATTTATGGTCAGAAATGTGACTGGAAAATTGGTACTGTGAAGGGAGAGTATATCGTTTTCACCCTCATATCTGGCTCAAATAAGAAAAAGTGAATTAGTGGTATGTGCTTCTCTCAGACTTTTCCTTAGGGATGTGCTGGAAATAACTAACAAAACAACTTGAGTCTTAAGAAGAAATACGATCAATCTTTTTTTCTTTTAAAATCCATCCTTCTCACCCTATCTAAACATTCTGGAGGATTTTGTTGTTGCTGTTCACTTGTCTTGCTTTTCTCTTCCCATTTCCAGCTATATAATGTAATTTCTATTTTGCTTTCAATTTCTTTCTGTTTCTCTCTCTGGCAATGACTCTATATTTTGAGTTTTATACCCTCTACAATTTATTACCCTTGTATTTTGAAAGACAGTTTTCTTTTAATTTGTATTATACAAAGTATTTGCTAAAGTATTATAGTATTTAACAAAGTTTTTGTTTCCTTTGAGTCTAAAATAAATTGTTTCCTCTTCATAAATATACCCTATTCTTTTTTCTTTACTACCTGCTTTCCCCCAGTCACTGAGTCAATCTATAAATATACCCAATTCTTTGACATAAAGGTTAAGTTTTCAATATAACAGTTTATATACAGTATTTTGATGATCCCCCCCCCCCTTTGTAGGCATGGGATAGGAAAGGGTTAAGGCCTTTTGTAGTAGGGTTGCTATGAGTTGTACTTGACTCCGTAGCACCAAACAACAACAGTGTTGGCCAGTAAGTAGTAAAATTCTTGAATTTCAAAGTTGTCAGATAATGCATTCAACCAGTTTAACCTGTGGTGGATGGGTTTCAGCAGAACTTCCAGACTAAGAAAGACTCAGAAAGAGATTGCCAAGATCTCTGCCTAAGAAAATTTGTCAATGATAAGCTTTTGAGTGGTAGTAGATCATTATCTGTTATAAAACCAGAAGATGAGCTCCTTAGGTTGGAACATACTCAAAGTATAATTGAGGGAGAGCTTAATTCTTAATGCCAAGGCTAGAGTAAAGTTT